ATACAAAGACCAAAATGCCCTCGTTGTAACAAGACAAAAACACAAACTTATTTAGATATAGTACAAAAATATAACCAGGGTCGTCAACATATAAGTGTCCTGGTGTAGGAGCCGAGGCTTACCAGCAGGGAATAAAGCTAAGTTGCCATAATACAGCCTCCACAGCAAGTCACCTCCCCTTATACCTGTGCACCCACACTCACACACAGAAAACACACTCCACTCCCCCACGGTTCACACAATACTCGTGACGAGACGACCGCCACCAGAAATCCACCCCTACCTTAGGCACTCAGCTCCTGCACAGAAAACAGAGTTATGTTACACAGTGTACAAGAAACAACAGGGTTATAAGAAAAATAATAAAGTAACTTACAAAGTTACTTCAAAAGAAAATATGTCCTCCTATACTTGTACGACCCAACAAAATAAACTCAAGTACGCAAAACACAAATAGTGAATAACAGAAAGAAAGCAAAACTAGGCTACTAATGTAAGAAACAAAAGGAAAATAAGGGAAAGTACTCCAAATGAATGGATACCAAATACTAGAATGCAAGAAAATCAGTAAAGAAGAAGGGAAATTAACTCAAATTGAATTACAGTACAATCATCAAAAAATGAAACCCACAATTCAAGACAAAAGATTTAATGCAAGGAAGGAATTAATTAAATTAATGAAACACAATGACTCACAACACAGAATAAGGCAAACCACACACTCTTCATAAACCTCAATGCATCACCACACACACACACACACACACACACACACACACACAGAGAAAAAGGAATTTAAACAGCTTTAATAAATAAAAGCAACAGCGTCTCTGGAGAGTGATTCCTGCGTCGTCGTCACCACAGAACTAAATCGCCCAAGGATACGAAACCAGGCGGTCTGTTTCATTACAAATTGAACAGAGCAATTATTAAAAATCGAACCCTATAAAATCTAAAAAGAATGCCCAATTCCCCATTTAAGGGAATGCACCTACCGTGAGAAGAAAAGTTCTCTAACTCAGTCGAGCAGATAAGCATACATGTTAATGGCTCATTCAGTTTACACTGATCTGGAAACAGTGTTTATGCCGGGGAGACACGGCCACATAGACAGACAACCTTCTGTATCAGCTGAGTTAACCAGTCTAGCCCGAACCGCTAACTGTTAACAATATACAATACCCATTCAATACAAGCGAGTACTGGTAAATGCAACCGTGAGCGAGTGACGCTTACCTGCTGAGGGGTAACATCCTTCAAAATGCCTGCCACAGAACCTAGTCAGACGTGCTGCTCTGACTGTCGAGCCAAAGATGACGCAAAGCAGCAGGCGGAATCGGGATCCCATTCCATCAAGCCAAACAGCCTATATACCCTCCCGCTGGCTGTGGATAGGGCAGCCCATGAGCGAATCCACCAATCACTTGTGGACAGAGTGGATTTCGCTACACCTACCACAATCTACACCCAGCTTCTGAATCGTCGCCCCAACACAACTCATCCCTCAATTCCAGGGCCTAAACAGGGTCGAAACAGCCATAGATGTCACTTCAGGCCAAGCCCTTTCATTACCCACCAGCCCTGCAGCCTGTGAGAGGTGATAGAGGTTAGCATGCTGACCTGCCGCAGCTCGCCTGGACCGTTGTGGTGCTATTTCATCTCCTCTAGATGGCTTTGATGGAACAACGGGCTGCTGAACTACTTCTTTTCCATCAGGTTGACTCTGGTCCATCAGTTCCACCAGCCCACTACCAGTCAATAGCTCCAAACATTCAGAGTCGACTGGTACACTATCGGAAACAACTGAAGGGATCTCTGGTACCAAAACCCAGAAATCTCCCGGTTCCGATTCTTCAGACTCCTATTCAACTGCAGATGGCACCAAGTCTACTACGGGTCTACCAGAAGATACATGGACAGGAGAGTCCTTCTGGATTCGGGCTTTCAACATGGAACGGTGAACCTGCTTTACCTTGCCCAAATCATCTACACGGGCAATAGAATAAACAGAGCCCCCCTTCACCACGTGGTACACCACTGGGCTCCACAAGTCCCGGATCTTCGACCAACCTCTCACGTCATAATCATGGAGATAGAGCAGTTGTGCATTTGTCCAGTGATGCATTTCACACATGTGGATCCTGCTGCGCTTTACAGCGCTCCACAGCAACTCTCAAGTGCTCCCATGCCCCTTCAAAAGCCACCTGCAATTGGGTTTAATGCTCTATAACCCACTCATGTACATTACCTGCAGCAGTTTCCTCCACTCTACCTAACAAAAAGTCAACCGGTAGACGAGGCTCTTGGCCAAACATCAAATAATACGGCGACTCACTGGTCGATTGATGGGGATTGGTATTGTAACTGAACAATACCTGAGGAAGACATGAAGCCCAATCCCGCTTACTTGAGGGAGGCAAAGTGCGCAAAAGATTGTGTAAGGTTCTATTGAACCGTTCGCACTGGCCATTCCCTGCCGGATGGTAGGGTGTGGTCCGGGAATTCTCTACTTTGTACAGACTTCAAAGCTGCTGGATAAGTGAAGACTCGAAATTGCGGCCCTGGTCCGAGTGAATTCGACCAGGAACCCCAAACTTGCAGAATCACTCCACCACTAACACTTGGGCCACTGTCTCCGCCCGCTGATCCCGTGTGGGAAACGCCGGAGTGTACTTCGTGAAAACATCAGTCATCACCAGCACATTCTCCAAACCCGAGCTGGATGGTTCCAACACCGTAAAGTCAATGACCAAGATCTCATTTGGCCTAGACGCCAATAGATGCCCCATAAAACTGGAGGGAACAGACTGCCCATCCTTAGCCAACTGGCAACGCTCACACAACTTACACCACCGGATAACATCTTCCGCCATACCAGGCCAATAGCAACGTTGGCGAACTAGCTCAGTCGTACGTTCTATGCCCTGGTGTCCGTTCTCCTGGTGCAACCCCCTCAAAACATCCGTTCTTAACTCCGAGCGTAAAAACACTTGAAAAGTTTCCTACCTACCATCAGGGCGGAAAACACCCCTTCACGTTCCACCAGACAGTCCCACTGGCAAAGAAAGGTCAAGCTGCTCTTAGAAAAAGAACGGCTCTCCTCCAAGTTGGGAAAGTTCTTCCGCTGCCAGAAGGATAAAACCCTCCCAATATCCGAATCAGATTCTTGCAGCATCTTCAAATCAGCTGGAGAATAGCCAGGGAAAACCTTAAGTGCAGCTTGCGTAGCCTGATGCCTCTGGTCCCCTCCAGCTGCCTGTTGGACAGAAACAGGGATGACAGTAGCGGGTAAAATCTGCCCCACTGCCTCACTATCAGCTGGAGCTTGTCTCGAAAGAGCATTCGCATTACCGTTACTCTTCCCCGATCTATACCAAACTTCAAAGTCAAAGACAGCAAGCTGGGCAGCCCAACGCTGCTCGGTGGCCCCCAGCTTTGCTGATGCCAAATGACTCAATGGATTATTGTCAGTATAAACAATAAATGTGTGCCCTAACAAATACTCCCTGAATTGTTCTGTCAGTGCCCACTTGAGTGCAAGAAACTCCAATTTCATGGAGCTATAATTTACCATGTTGCACTCAGTGGGCCGCAAACTACGGCTGGCGTAGGCCATGGGTCGGAACTTCCCCTCCTGCTCTTGAGAAAGCACTGCCCCCAGCCCCTTGTTACTCGCATCGACTTCAAGAATAAACGGCAATGAGAAATCGGCATATGCGAGGATGGGCGCAGTCGTGAGCTTCTGTTTTAAAGTGTCGAAACTTATGACAATGCTCAGTCCATGCACTGCAAAAATTCTGCCCTGACAGTTTCTTGTGCTTGGCCCCAACAAACTCTGCCACCAGCTTATGTAGAGGGGCTGCCAATTTGGCAAACCCCTCCACAAAGCGGCGGTAGTAACTGGCAAAGCCCAATAAGGAACGGAGCTCTGTAACATTACCTGGGCGGCTCCACTTTGCTACCGCCTCGACTTTACTTGGATCCGTGGCCACCCCCTGGGAAGAGACCACGTGACCAAAGTATGTTACCTGCTCTTTGAAAAACGCACATTTCCCCAACTTCGCCTTGAGGCCCTTGCGCTGCAATCGACTCAAGACGACCTCCAACCATTCCAGATGTTGAGTCACTGAGGAGGAGAATACCACAATGTCATCCAGATACTAAAGTAACGACTGATGCCGCTGGTCACCAAACAATCTTTCCATCAGATGCTGGAAAGTGCTGGGGGCATTACAAAGCCCAAAGAGCATTCTATTCCATTCAAATAACCCAAATGGAGTACAGAATGCAGTCTTGGCCTTATCTCCCTCAGTGACTGGAACTTGGTTGTACCCACTGGCCAAATCCATAGTGGAGAACCAGGTGTCAAGGCGTCCAAGGTTTCCTCGATACGAGGCAGCGGGAACGCATCCTTCCTTGTTTTTGAATTCAACTGACGGTAGTCTACGCACATGCGTAGACTACCGTCCTTCTTTTTGACTAGGACGATGGGAGAGGCATAGGGACTGCAACTCTCCCGGATAATCTTGGCCTCAAGCAGCTGGTTGATATGAGTCTTCACCACATCATATTCCGATGGGGGCAGGCGCCTATATCACTGCCGGACTGGGACATCGTCTATAAGGGGAATGGCATGAGAAATCAGATTGGTACACCCCAAATCATTGTCATGAGCAGAAAACACAGACTGATATTTTTGTAACAGAGCCCTGACCTGACCTTGTTCTTCCAACCTGAGAGCAGATAAATCAACAGACTCTATCGGTTCCTGTAGAGTAGGTTCTACTGCACAACCTTGAGACCCCACAGTAGCAAACACCTCCTTTACCTCAGTCACCCCTGGAGGCAAGCTAACAGCGTACACTGACTTCTGGGTGCCTATCAAGGTATTAGGGTAAAGGACTGCATCAGACATCCCCAGATTAACAACTGGGATGTAGGCTGTACTTCGTGTCACTGGCACTAGGGCTGGTGAGGCCAATAACCCAGCTGGGAGTCCAGAATCCAGTGGCTCAAACAACACAGTACCTCCTGAATAGTGTTCAGAGCATGTAGTAACTATCACCTTCATCGTGCCCCTCGGAACATGGCATGGATAACGCCCTCGTACTCTTGCCTTACCTGACTGCCCAATTACTGGCTGGGATTTAACATTGTGGCAATGCTGTAATGCTTGCCTCACAAACCCAGGGACCTCCACCACTGGTGGAGAATTAAACAGGGCTGGGCTGTGTTGGTGAAAAGATCCTGGTAGCACCGGCTCAGCACGTTCATCCCCAATACCCCGGGGACCTGAGCACACAACCCACCAGGAGGGTCCCTGACGACTAATACGCCACACTCTGGCACTATTTTGCCACACAGCTCCACATCCAACTCCATGTAACCAATATAGGGAATGGCGAGTACATTAGCCGCATGTAGCTGTAGCCACTGACAACGTTTTAAACGCTCTTGGCCCCATGGTTTAAAATGTTTCAGAAAACAACTCTCAGTGATTGTCGAGACCATGGAACCTGTATCAATCAAGCACTGCACCGGAACTCCGCCAATACCAACTATCAATTGTGGGCAAGACGACATTAAGCGAGACATTGAGCTATCAGTAACTAACACATCCGAGCTGTGGCTCAACAGCCCAGTGGGAACTAGTTTCCCGATGGCTGACTCCGCAGGCAGCGATGATGTAGAAACTGCAGGTGAAGGGCCCGCAAATTGTAACTTACACTCCCTGGCCAGGTTGGTGGCACCACCTACAGATAACTGCCCATAACGGGGAGAACGACTTTGTGAACGAGCACCTCGAAACTGAGCGAAACTTTGCGTCAGTCGATTAAACTGATTTTGCTGCGCCTTTAACCCTCTAAGCGCCAAAGTCGCAAAATTGCAACAAGACGTCATACTTAATAAAATAGACTGTAGTTCCTAATATGGTGAAATATCTCATTTGTATTCCCTACCACTAGATGGCAGACATGCAATACTTTACAGTAGATCTCTGTCTTTAAGCCCTTTCAAGCCACAAGCTTTTGAAATCTTGATGTCAAAATCCAGCATTTTTCCAAAAATTCCTGGCGCCTAAAAGGTTAACATCTCCCTTATTTCACCTAACTCTGACTGTGGGGGCACACACGTAGCAGAACTCTGTCCTCCCTGCACCCCATATTGAATCCCATATGATAACGTGACTGACTTCGAGAACATGCACCACCTGGCATACCTTCCTGTTCCCACCTTATTGCCTCACTACGCACTTCTAACAGCGTGGAATTTGGTTCACGGCGGACTAACTGTTTGAGCTCATGCCGGAGGGCATTATCTGCCACGTGTACGACAAACTGGTCATGCAGTAAAACAGGAGCATTTGGCACAGCCCCAGGAAACTGCTGTTTAACTTTCTCCATGAGGCCCATTAGAGCAAGGGTGAATTCCAATAAACTCTCCCCTTCCAATTGCTTCCTGGAGAAAAAAAGCTTCCTGCAGGGCTACGTGGGACTGAGAGCAACCAAAAACCTCACGTAATGCAAGAAAAATATTTTCCGGATCCCCCCGTTCTTCTTCCGAACGATACCTGATCTCCGCTTGTGCTTCCCCCTCTAAATGGTCAATTAGAAAGAAAGCCTGGTCAGATACTGACAAATGACGAGCCCGAATACAGGCCTGTGCCTCCTCAATCCATTCGTTAAGGCCAATACCTGACTTGACATTGAACTTGGGACATTTACGGTCCCTAGGCACAAACACAAATCTTTCAGGCTGGCTAGCACCCGCATTGACTGGCTGAGGTGTAACAGGGGTTGCTTCGGGCACATCAGGACCTGCCGCAACGGAAACGGGCAACGCAAGGGCACGCTCTTGGCGCAGCCTTTCGTTGTCCGCCTTCAACTGAGCCACAAGTTCTCCAAGTTCCCTAAGTTCGTCCTCCATTATTAACCCAGCACTTACCACCACAGAAGGAAACAACAGAAAGGAGATCCAAGCAGAAACTACTGCTCTCCACAATCCAGGCAGACGCTGTTGCTTACACTGAAAAAAGAAAAACACACTAGACAGAACTACTGTTAAGGAGTCGCAATGACAAAACCCACACACACAAATAACTACCCACATCTCCACCTAAATCACAGTGATACCCTGCCGACTACGCCAGAATGTGGCAGAGCACGGAGAGATTAATAATTAATATCAAGCGACTACGCCACCCAGGGTGTGGCCCAGGGACCAATACCAAATAAAGTACTTTCTAAAGACACACAGCTTAGTGCTCTAGAAGTAGGCAGGAGACGTAGATATAAAAAGGTACAAATTTGATTAAAGATAAAGTTGAAAATACAAAGACCAAAAATGCCCTTGTTGAAACAAGACAAAAAACACAAACTTATTTAGATACAGTACGAAAATATAACCAGGGTCGTCAACATATAAGTGTCCTGGTGTAGGAGCCGAGGCTTACCAGCAGGGAATAAAGCTATTTGGCATAATACAGCATCCACAGCAAGTCACCTCCCCTTATACCTGTGCATCCACACTCACACACAGCAAACACACTCCACTCCCCCACGGTTCACACAACACTCGTGATGAGAGGACCGCCACCAGAAATCCACCCCTGCCTTAGGCACTCAGCTCCTGCACAGAAAACCGAGTTAGGTTACACAGTATACAGAAGAAACAACAGGGTTATAAGAAAAATGATAAAGTAACTTACAAAGCTACTTCAAAAGAAAATACGTCCTCCTATACTTGTACGACCCCACAAAATAAACTCAAGTACACGAAACACAAATAGTAAATAACAGAAAGAAAGCAAAACTAGGCTACTAATGAAAGAAACAAAAGCAAAATAAGGGAAAATACTCCAAATGCATGGATACCAAATACTAGAATGCAAGAAAATCAATAAAGAAGAAGGGAATTTAACTCAAATTGAATTACTGTACAATCATCAAAAAATGAAACCCACAATTCAAGACAACGGCACAAAAGAATTAATGCAAGGAAGGAATTAATGAAATTAATGTAACACAACGACTCACAACACAGAATAAGGCAAACCATACACTCTTCATAAACCTCAATGCATCACCACACACACGCGCACACACACACACACACGTGCACGCACACACAGACATTTTAATCACTCTAACACTGCATAACATAGAATAACAATGCATAATGCAAACTCACCCCTGCAAATGGCTAAACCAAATAAACATAAAACTTGAAATACCACCATCTTCATCTTCAAGTGGAGGGTCATTTTTCTTCGAGTAAGACTTGTTGCATTTTCTGCATCTGAGGGCTTGCAATTCAGACACCATGGTATTTGAAAACTACTTCATCATAGGGTCTGTGAAAGGAAAAAAAAAGGTTAATCAGTGGCTTATAATTAGCTATAGATATGCATTAGAATTTCTTTGACTCTTCTCAGTTTACCTTTCAAAATTTGGTCTAAATCCTCATCAAGCTTGACATGAGCATCTGTTTTTATTCTCTTATGCCTAGTTCACACAACAGGATTTTAAGCCCGATTTAAGCCCGATTTGCAAATGAACGAGCTTGCCGACAGGTCGGGCTGTGATCAGGGGGAAATCAGCAGGTGATCAGCGCTCGGCAATCTTTATGAGTGAACTACACAACGACGCATCAAAGAGGCTCGCTGACATGGCAAAAAAATATCCAGCATGCCAAATATCTGGACCTCAAACCGCTAACTGTTAACAATATACAATACCCATTCAATACGAGCGAGTACTGGTAAATGCAACCGTGAGCGAGTGACGGTTACCTGCTGAGGAGTAACCTCCTTCAAAATGCCTGCCACAGAACCTCGTCAGACGCGCTACTCTGACTGTCGACCAAAGATGATGCAAAGCAGCAGGTGGAATCGTGACCCCATTCCGTCAAGCCAAACAGCTTATATACCCTCCCGCTGGCTGCAGATAGGGCAGCCCATGAGCGAATCCACCAATCACATGTGGACAGAGTGGATTTCGCTACACCTTCCACAATAGAATAACAATGCATAATGCAAACTCAACCCTGCAAATGGGTGAGAGAGCAAGGCATGGGTTGAGGTCACCGGAAGAAAAACAACAGCAGCAACATGGCTTAAAGAAAAGTTTGGACGCAATAAATAGAGCAAAATTTTTCATCAAGCAAACAGCTTGCAGCGCTAATTTCTTCCCGACATCCATTTTCAAATAAACAACTCCGGTTTCCCGTGTTGTTTCGCGTCATTGCCATTCCAAATCTCGCGTGTGTTTTCGTTACAAAACGTGGTTTGTAGAGTCGTTGGGTGTCAGCTTGTGTAGTGTGTAACCCCCGGTTACGGATCATTTACATAGAGTCACATAGTGTGAACACCACAACGACTTAAAGACAGACAATCAAGTCATGTAGTCTGAACAGCACAGCGATCTGCCGACGTTTAAAGTCGTGTAGTGCGAACTTAGCGTAAGGCACACTATGTGATTAGGGATCGCTACGAGACAGTTCTGCCGGCACGACTTGCACCAGCGAGTTACCTCACAAGGTTCCCATCTGACTTCTGGAGAGTGGAGAGTGAGCCAGGGGCGTCCCAGGATGATATCGATGGTGGGTCCCTCCAGTACCAGAAAGTTGATGGTCTCCTCATGCAGACATCCGACTTTCAGCTTCATCTGCGGGGTTCGGTAGTTGACCTGCCCAAGCCCTAGCGGTTTGCCCTGAATGGTCTCGACTCGGAACTCCTGGGCCTGACGTTGGCGAGACAGATGGAGACGGCTTAGGAGGTCTCGTGATATGAAATTGCACGAAGAGGCCGAGTCGACGAGGGCGGAGACTGAAACCGAACAATCGGCGGTGAGTAGTTGCACTGGTAACAAGGATAAAGTTGATATCACTGGTTCGAATTGAATGATACTTACCGCAGGGCATGGGGGTCTGACGGGGAAGGTTTTAATGAAATGGTCTGGAGCAGAATCGCTTCCTTGAAGTGATTAGTGAAAGCATCATATGAGTTGATTATGGCATTGTGGCGATCCATATTGCTCGTGCCCACAACAGTGCTCTGCCGGTTAACAGGGAAATCAATAGGCTACCTTAGAGCGTTCCGGGGAGAATTTCTGTGGCTGCATCTCGATAAATAGTGCCACTTGAAGGAGGAAGCCGTCGCACTCAGTTGCGCCACCAGCATAGGGAGCAGGAATGGCCATGGGACTTACAGAGGCAGATTGTGGGGTAATGACTTGCATGAGAGAGGCCCGGAGGGTGTTGACCAGTTCCTCCAGTACTTATGCGGGAGTGGGAATCCGGGGATCCGTGGAGGTGTATGTTCGGGGTCCGGTCTTCTGTCACACTACAAGCCAGAGACACAAGGTTTGGATGCAAACAGGAGGGTTTAATGACAATGAGGAGAGAGCGAGCTGACGGCAGGCGAGTAAGAGATGAGAGAGAGTTCTCGGGTTCTTAGCTCTGGGTAATGGCTGGTTTGTCCTTGTAGGTAGGGATGGTTGACGCGAAACTGACGTTTCGACACAGTGTCAATATCCCAAAGCGCAGATGTTTCGAAACACTGCTCCGAAGTGTGATTCGAAACACCCATGTCACATGACTAAGGCGAATCAAAGCATCGGGGCGTTTCACAAGTGTTTCGAGAACCGAATCTGCTTTTGATCGACAGGGTTGGGAACAAACCACACGATCTCACATCTGTCTTGACCTAACTCCCGCAAAGTATAAAAGTGGAGTTAATGCAGCAGAACAATTAATATATGTCAATAAAAATCTTTATATGTAAAAAATACCAGGCGTTGTGGCTTGATGTCTTTTATTAATGTTCATTTTTTCATTACCAAAATAACATTCACAAAGAGTTCATTCAGTTGTCAGAGAGATGTTACAACACATTACAAGAACAGAACAATAAAAACACAACTTTCAAATATTTATATACATGCTTCACCCAGGATTCAAACCTAAAGTAACAGGTTCTGACAACATTACAATCGTGCAAACTAAACACTCCCCCAACCCACATGGTAGATAGAAGAGCACAACATATATATTATAAGTTAATTCACTTAACTGATTCGTTGTCAATGCTGTTTCAGCTCAATACTTGAAGATGACCACTAGGTGTCACCATAGAGACAGGTGTTGAATTGTTTCGAAGCTTCAGCACATTTGCTTCAACTGTTTCGGTGTTTCATGAAGCCTCGCTCTGCCCACCACTACTTGCAGGTATCCGGGGGAGAATGGGATCGGCAGAGAACGGGATCGGTGGAGAACAGAATCGTGAGAGCTTCTAGAGGTAAGTAAACAACAGGTAAGGAGTCAGGCTTAGTTCAGCCAAGTGAACTGTATACCGGACAATGTGGAACTGACTGGATTGTGGAGATATAGCCAGCTTGATGAGTGACTGCAGGTGCGGGTGATTAGAATTCGGGTGATTGGGATCTGGTGTGTGTCGAGGTAGGTGACGGCAGTGACGTGAGTGACTGAGGTGTTTCCCTGACACATATGTTCATTGTCTTTTACAACAATGATCTTTTGTGAATCCCAATTTAAATAAAATGATTTCAGATAATTCACATCAGTTTTCTACAATTGTTGTACATTTACATAACATTTGTGTGGCTTCTCTGTAAAATATCCCAGTCAGTTAATGGACGATACAAGTTACTTGTTTATTTCATCTTCACGCAGTTAACATCAGCTCACACCACACTGGTTTTTTCTTTGTTTTCTTCATAGATCACGTTTCATATATTTTAAGTTCTGACACTGTTTCCTGTGCACTAAACAAGTTGCATGTTAATGGAAATGACAACACATATTTGGGACAGTCATAATTTGAGCAATTTACACAAGAAGAATTTTAAAACAGACAACAACAACAAAAAAAGGTTTATGTTTTTATTCATGTCACTCGTTGTTTACATCATGATAAAAGTCATTAAATGAAATAATTACTATTTTACAGCTCTAGGAAAAAAAAGATTGAGACCACTCCAAATTTTTCTTAAAGCAGCAATCTTTTTATCAAGGAAAAGTATAAAAACCACTGCTGTGGTCATCACTGTCCTCTCGCAGTAGGACCAGCTGGACGGCAAAAACTGTGCTAGTAGTACCTCAAAAGTAATTGTAATCAAATAATAACTATTGACCATGCCAAAAGAGTTGAAAAAAAGTTTTCAGTGGGAAAAGAAGGGTTCAATTCTAGATTTACTGGCAGGGATACAGTGAGCATCAGGTTGCTTATATTCTTAAAATTTCGAGGACAGCAGTTCATAAGAACAAGGTCAAGCTGCAGACATTGGGGACAACAAACCACAGCCCTGCAGAGGGTGAAAGTGACTCTCCACTGACTAGGATGACCGCCAACTCATTCAAATGTCACTCAACAACCATAGGATGACATCAAGTGAACTACAAAAAGAACGGCAAACAGCACAGCGAGGATGGCTCAAAACAGGGCAAAGCTTCGCCAACACCATGGTCATCTAATAGTTAGATGGAGACCTGGAGAGGCCTACAAGCCACAGTGTCTCGCACCCACTGTGAAATGTGGTGGAGGATCTGTGATGATCTGGGCGTGTTTCACATTTGTCTTTGTTAATGGCGCATGAATTAAGCCACGTACAAGGTGGAAGAATACTTGCTTTCTTTCTGCTCTGACAATGTTCCCTAACTCTGAGGATTGGTTTTCACAGCAGGACAATGCTCCATACCACACATCCAGGTCAATCAAAGTATGGATGGAGGGCAACCAGATCAAGACCCTGTCATGGCCAACCTAATCTCCAGAACTGAATCCCATTGAAAACCTCCAGAATGTAATCAAGAGGAAGATGGATGGTCACACGTCATCAAAGAAAGCAAAGATGCTTGATTTTTTGCACCAAGACTGGTGGAGAACATGCCAAGAATCATGAAAGCTGTGATTGAAAATCAGGGTTATTCCACCAAATACTGATTTCTGAACGCTTCATGAGTTAAAACTTTGTGATTCTCAAATATTGATTTCTGAACTCTTCTTAAGTTAAAACCTTAATATTGTGTTGTTAAAAATGTTTTCTTTGCATTATTTCAGGTCTAAAAACGTTGCATCGTTTTTGTTATTTTGACCAGTTGTCATTTTCTGCAAATAAATGGTCTAAATGACATTTGGAATTTGGGAGAAGTGTTGTCAGTTGTTTATACAACAAAACCAAAATGTTCATTTTACTCAAATGCATACCTATAAATAGTAAAACCAGAGAAACTGATAATTTTGCAGTGGTATATACATTTTTCCAGAGCTGTATATTGGATTTCCATATTTTAAGATTGAAAGTCTTAAAAAGATAAAATAATAAAATCTATACATATGTCACGTGTATGTTCCCATTTAGTTCCTGTTTGTCCTTATTTGGTCCTTACTGTTCCTGTCCCCATTTAGTTATATTAGTTCCAGGTGTTTCTCGTTATTAGTTATCCTCCTCACCTGTCTGCCCCTCGTTATCTGCCCTATTTGAGTTCTAGCCTGTTCTGTTTTCCCTTGTCTGGAATTGTTGATGTCAACCCTTGTTATATGTGTTTTCATGTTTCCCTGGATATTATTAAAGTCAATAAGTTTTAATTTGACTCTGCATCTCCTCCTTCCTCGCTCCGTGCTCCTCACAGTAGCAAACCGTGACAGAATTCCAAACCCAACAAAATAGTAAGCGGCGCCCCTTCTCCCCATTTTGTTTTCATTTGTTTAATGTTTTTTTTGTTTTCCCAGTTTCTCCCCGCGGCTATGGAAGTTGCCGCTCGGTTCGCCGCCCTAGCTCGCCTGAATCTCCCGTTTGTGGAGTATGCGTGGGAATTCTGCGGGATCGCTGCAAGTATGGCATTAGATGACGCCACGCTCAACTCGCTGTTCTGGATCGGGGCTAATTACCATCGCCCCGTGGACCTCCCAGACACCACTGGACTAAACTGGAGGGAAGGGATCCTCCGGTGTCTGGAGAGTATCCGGCCCCGATCCTGAACCAGCTCGCCGTCAAGTCCGCCAGCCTCTCCTACATCAAGCCTGCCGGCCGCCGCTGACTCAGTCCCAAGACCCCTGATCCGCCATGGCTCCTCGGACTGCCTGATCCGCCCTGGAGGCCTTCCCTGTTTCCCTGTCTTGCACCAGCCTCCACCCCCCCAAAGTGGTATTGTTATGGTGCGGGACGTGCCTTCCGGGAGGGGAGAGTAATGTCACATGTATGTTCCTGTTTAGTTCCTGTTTGTCCTTATTTGGTCCTTCCTGTTCCTGTCCCCATTTAGTTCTATTAGTTCCAGGTGTTTCTCATTATTAGTTATCCTCACCTGTCTGCCCCTCGTTATGTTCTCCCTTGTCTGGAATTGTTGTTGTCAACCCTTGCTACGTCTGTTTTCCTGTTTCCCTGGATATTATTAAAGTCAATCAGTTTGAATTTGACTCTGCGTCTCCTCGTTCCTAGCTCCGTGCTCCTCGCAGTAGCAAACCGTGACAACATAAGTCATTTGAAGAGTTGGAAAAATAAACAATAAAGGCAAGGAAAAATGTTTCCATGTTTTTAAATGTGATCTTCATTTAACAAAATAAAAGATAACATATGTGAATGTCAGTTGTTGAAGAAATATAAAAAGACAAGGCAATTCAAATAAAGTAAATGCTAAAAAAAAAAAAAGACAGAACGGTTATGCAGCTGAAAATGTTGTAAATCCAGCTGCAGCTGAAAATGAGTGTATTTTAGAAGACCCACCTAACACAGATAGGCTAAAATTAACAAAACAACATTGACTTTATTCAAGTAACAATCATAAGAATTATGTCTATAAAAATGAGAACAGCTAAAGCTCAGATAAACACAGATAAAAAAAAAGTTTCTGTAGATGTTTAAAGGGTAGAAGGTAAAGGGTACTGAACTGAACTAATATGATTTTAAGGTGTTACACTGTTGTCATTGGTGTGGTAGACAGCCCAGTGAGCCCTAATGGAGGTGATTCCCCATCCATTGTGTCAACCACTGAGAAAACGTAGCTCACTTCCATCATGGGTCGGGCAGAAGTTAAATGAGTTTCCAGAAGGTTGTCCCACTTTAAAAGATGTGTCATCAGTGTTCAAATCGATACACACAATGCAAATGACTTAATTAATTTTACATTAAGTCACAATAAAACACATCTTAATTACTTTGGCACTCTTTTCGTCTGGATAGGTGATCAGTGCTGCATTGGTTCACTTACCCACCAATGTGTGCGCTACTGTATTCCCAGATTCTGATACCAGTGATGCGACCCGCATGTGCAGTAGAATATTCAGTCCCACTGTCATCCCCAGCAGCCAGGGAGTAAGAGTAGAAATCAAGTAAAGCTGAAAGAGGGAATAACAACAACTAAAAGTCTGTCTGTGTTATTTTTATTATAAAATTGTTATTAATATAAATTATTACTATTATTATTATAATAATTACTGTTTTAATTATCTTATTTAAAACTTTTTTTTTGCAAACATTCAAAATCATGCTGCAAAAAAAGTATACAGTATATAATTTTCTAAAGGCCATTATTTTCTTACAGTGTGATTTTGCATGTTTGCAAAACAAATGTACGTAAGATACAATGGTAAAAATAAAAATCACTAAAGTGGTGTGTGATATTCACGCATGGCCATGCCCACTGTACAAACTCCAGAGAGAACCAGAATAAGATTCAACATTTTGGAAAAAAGCTGCTGTCCAGTACACAACAATAATCTAATTGACACAAAACATATCATGCTTATGAAACAGTAAATACACTCTTAAAAATAAAGGTGCTTAAAAGGCTCTTTCTGGAGCCAGCTCTGGGGCTGGAGCCGACGCTGGAGCCAGCTCTGGGGCTGGAGCCGACGCTGGAGCCAGCTCTGGGGCTGGAGCCGACGCTGGAGCCAGCTCTGGGGCTGGAGCCGACCGCCTTCTCCTCCTTAGATTCGCCTCTAGGTTCAGGGTGAAAGGCATAGTTGGTGGGCTTGAGTGAGCCGCGGCCCGCAGGCTTGGCTTCGGAATGGCTGGCGGATTTGATCGGGACTTGGTTCTGGATCGGGGATGGACACTCTTCAGACACCGGAGGATCTCTTCCCTCCAGCTCAGTCCAGTGGTGTCTGGGAGGTCCACGGTGCAATGGTAGTTGGCCCCGATCCAAAACAGAGTTGAGCGTCACTTCGTCCAACGCCGGGATTCTGCGGCGATCCCACAGAACTCCCTAGCATACTCCACAAACGGGAGATCCTGGTGAGCTAGGGCGGCGAACCGCGCAGCAATTTCCATAACAGTGGGAAGATGCATTTTGTTTTTAGGTCCAGTCTTCTGTCACAGATCAAGCCAGAGACAACAGGTTAGTGAATAAAAGGCAGGTTTATTGACAGGTATGGCAAAGGCAGATGGTCTGGAGCAATGGCAGTTGAGAATTCAACACAAAGTAAAGTCCAATGATTCTTAGCTGTGTATTGATGTTTGGTTCTTTGAAGGTTCGCGGAGAATACGGGATCCAGGATCAGAGGAGAACAACGATGGAAGATCTTCGGAGAACTAGAGGCAAGAATAAACAGGTACGTTGCATTCAGTGAGTCTGGTAAAGTTCTGTGTAGTGAACGGTAGACCAGACGGTGAGTGACTGGAAGGAGCGTGCTTATGAATGGTGACTTGATTGCAGATGACAGGTGCGGGGAATCAGAACTCAGGTGATGGTGATAATGCGGTCCAAATGCAAAGAATGATTAGAATGATATATATATATATAACATTGCTTATTTTGCCAAAGAGTGTGAACTTTTTTTTAACAAATAAAAAAATATACAAAAGATAGGAAAAAGGGTTATACATGAAATTCTAAGAAATCCAGGATAGCACAACACTAGTTTTTATATTAGAACACTATATTTATTTAGAACAATGTAATCAACTTTCGCTGAATCACACTATTACTGAATTTGAGGTGTCCATGGTCAAAAAATGACAGGGTTCTGTCGGTCTGCTTAATATTAGCTATATTATTTATTTTTATTAAATTTCACTAGAATTTACTAAGTACAGATAAGGATGATTTGTCCTTTAATGTATGTATAATCTAGCATTGGTGGATATCAATTTTTTTTTTTATGAAGGACAAATGTTTTAGATTAGATTTCTCTTTTTTTAAGTTATTACAGTTAATACAGTTATTTTTTTGTACCTGACAAATCATATGATATTGATCATAAGACATGAAATGCCTGACCTAGCTTGATGGTTTGCTTTTGTAGCAAAAGTAGCAGTACCATTGAAAAATAAAGCTAAACTAAAAAAAAAAAAACCTAAGCATTTACCTGTCACGTTTATGTTCTGTTTTGGTTTTGAATTCCCTGTGTTTCTGTTCATCTTGCCTGGACCCAGTTTTCCGTTGTTCCCTGATTAGTCTATTATGTTCACCTGTTTTGATTTAGTTCTCCACCTGTTTCAGTTCTCCCTAATTACATTCCATGTGTTTACAGTACCTGTGCAGTGTTGCCAATTTAGCCCC